ATATATATATATATATAAAAAACACCACAATATGTAAAATATGAGTGCCTATGCCACATGCCATGTATGTAGGTCTGGGTACTTTATCAGTTAAAATGGATAAATCGTCAGAATAAAATGTGCACACACAAATAAAATCCCAACACACCCTGTGGACAGTGTGAGCTGAGAGAAGCAGCTTTTCTCCATCAGCCAGCAGCGCTCGCCTTCCAGCTGGTCAAATGTCACCATGGTGACAAGAGTCAGTAGGTGGAGCGTCACTATTAAGAATCTTTAAACTTTTAACAATCTTGATGATTTATAAGGTTTGCATAAATGTAAAATGGAAAAATTGTACCTAAAGATGCTGCAGCTGAACTCTGGAAATTCATGAGTTATTTAGGACAGTCTGAGATGACGCTGAATATTTCTTCTATAAGTCTGTTGAACATTAAAAATATCTTAACACACTGCATAAAATACAAATGAAAAATATGCAAATATATTAAATCAACAGACATTTGCTTATCGTCAAAAATAGGGTTGTATGCTAAGACTATACTACACACCAGATTGTGTAACATATTTGCTTTTCTTGCTGCTTTGCACAGGAAGTATCTTCTGTCTTCTTTATTCTAAGATCTCTTGGAGATTAGTGGTGCATCCACTGCTAACAAAGTGGGTCTGACTGCTGCCTTAAATCACATTTCATTTAAGCTGTTTTGCGGAGAAACATGATCAATATATTTCAAAAGCTAACTTTTTAAATGAGTAAAATCCATGCATTGTACATGTAAAATGCAGTTTTACTGAAAATCTTTAGTGTTTTACTCCAGTCAGGAAATGGAGGGTTTCTGATCACTCAGCTGGATGTGGTCAGAACCTGCTTGAAATATATTTACTCAGTAATTCAATATTGTTTTCTTCAGAAACTTTCTGTGGCTACATTGTTGACTCTGTTCCACCCACCTGGCTCCCATGGAACAGATGCACTAGGGGAACATAAGTAATATTGAAGAAGTAAAAATATTAGGTGAGATCAGATCGACTCAAACTACATGACCTGGACCATGCAAGGATTCCTCTCTTTACAGCTCAATAAAAAAAAACATAAGTATTTATTTTATAGTGGGTACTCAGTGTGCTGCAAAATCCACTGTTCAAAGAAAGCATTACAAAGAACTGATAAGCACTTCTTTTAAAGGGGCAGTATTGTTTATTTTCCAGGCACAGAGCCATTTTTAACTATGTTGTCTTCAGTTATTAGAATTTTTTTTTTAAATCATATAATTTAAAAGAAATTTACCTTCCTGTTTTAACGCTTTCAAATTGGGCCTCTGTCTCCTTAAAAACTCCTGCTCTTTCTGAAACTCCATATTCAGGAAGTCATCACACCTTTAACAAAGTTTTTACCAGCATTTTACTGAGAAGTAACTCCTATAATGAGCTCAGCAGATGAGCAGTTCCACCAGGTGTTTTCTAATTACTGCTGGCTAGTCTGAAGGAGCTGAGTGGAGGAGTTGCGGAGGAGGGCTGCTCTGTGAGGTGGAAGTTTGGAAACTGCAGCTCTGAGGAGGAGCTGTGGCTCAAAGGCGGGGCCAGATCCACCCAGGTGTTTTGCATATCTGAATGGTTGCCATGAAGATAAAAGGATTTCTCAAACACGCATGAAAGAATCAAGGCAACACTCCAGACATGTTTTTGATTAGGATAACGTTATAACATGATATAAGACTCAAAAAATCAATTTTACATGATACTGCCCCTTTAAGATGTTGTGGCACTAGTCACATTTTTTCTCCAGTAAAACAGAAAAAACAAGGGAAAGAAAATAGGAGCAGATGAAGCAAAGGATGTAGGAGGTGAACCCCAGACAGCAGCACTGTGGACTGAGACAGCAGACCTGCACAAGGCTCCTTTTTTTCCTCATCTTCAATGATTGTAATATGCTGTCATATTAAATGAAGCTGCTACTACAAAAAGCTTGGATAATAAGCATGACAGATTCATTCTCCCCAGTGTAGCTGCAGAGAGAGAACAGCTTTCTGTTACTTTCTCCATAAGATCCTCAGGTGAGCTTCTGAACAGGTAGAATCAGTTCTCATGAGAAAGCACAATAATCAGTCAATTAGAAACCAACCACGCTCTAACATGACATCAAAAAGTTGGAAATGAAGCTATTATGTAAAAGGTCGTGATCATAACAGCACACAGAGCCCAGGTGATGGTAGTTTTATTAGCAATGATGTAACCAGGAGTTGGTTCTAAACAGTCTTCAAGTCATGAAAGTCAACATGAATGAGGGCTGAGATGCAGCCAAATGCTCTGTTATATCAAAATATGGAATATGAAACAGTTTATATCATTTTAGTGACTCAGTAAAATTTGACAGGTAAAATACATTCTCCTTTCATAAACACACAATGATTCAGATGAGAAAGCGTGTTTATGAGCCAACCATCTTTAATTCCATAGAAAAAGTTTGTGGTAAGCCCAATGTACAGCAGTTCATCACAGGAGCTATTATTGTCCATATTTTCCCCCAAATGAAAGGTTCAACATTTCAGATGAACCCAACAAGGTTGGAATATGATGTTATGTACCTGAAAATGTTTTACGGACCAGAATAAAACCATCCTGCCCCAGAACCCTACAGGACCCCTCTAGAGGCAGCCTGTCCAAATGGGGGCAGCAGCTAGGCCTCCGTCTGCTCCGTCATCTCCCTGCAAGAAGCTGCTGCCACCTGAGGAGTCTGCTTGTTTCTGTCCCGCTCCGTCACTGAACCCTCTGTCCGCTCACACTCCTTCTGTTGGTCTTCCTCGGCTTTCTGTTTCTCTGCTTTGGTCTTGAACCTCAGCCCATGACCTGGAAATCAGACAGCAGGGATCCTTAAATAGATGGAGTTGTGTGTCTTACAGTGACATTGAGCCATTTTATAGCACTATCAAGTAATTATAACCTTCAGTTATGAAATACTGTAGGTTATATATACTGTATGAAATACTGTATATATCAAACAGAACTTAGAAGAAAATTGACTTTGGAATTTAACGCGTAGAACTTAAAACATTTAAGTTTGATTTTCTGAAAAACAAACTTAACCCTCTGATGCATGACATATTGACTATACAGTCTTCCATGGGTGGGTCTTTTTGGACCTGTGTTTAAATCAATGTGTTTTTATGCTATTTTTGTCATTTTGATTCAAAATAATGTTTAGTATGATACTTTCTGCTGTGTTTTATTTCACACAATAATCATTTCATGTTTGAAATATTTTCATTTTTCACTTTTTTAAGCATTTTTAGAAGAAATTGTTTAACATTTGTGACAATTAGTAGAACATTTTTAAAACAAAATGACAACAGCAATTTTACAACAGCAATGTTGGAACAATGTCAGTGTCCATTATGTGTGTGTGGGTGTGTGTGGGCAGCGGGAGGGAGATGGGGGAATAGAAAGAGCATGTTTCTTTAAACTAGCTTGCTAACCAAGCTAGCTAACCAAGCTAGCTAACATTACTGTCTGTATTCTATTGTGCTGTGTATCATGCATGTGAGTGTGTGTATGCATGTGCATTTATTTATCCATAAATCCATCCATTCATTCATCTTCTTCCATTTATCCGGCGCTGGGTCGCAGATGTAGCAGCCTAAGTAAGGAGGCCCAGACTTCCCTCTCCTCAGTCACTTGTTCCAGCTCTTCTGGGGATTTCCCAAGGCATTCTCAGGCCAGCTGAGAAACATAGTTCCAGCGTGTCCTGGGTCTTTCCCGGGGCCTCCTCCTAGTGGGACATGCCCAGAACACCTCACCAGGGAGGCGACCAGGAGGCATCCTAACCAGTTTCCCTAGTCACCTCAGCTGGCTCATCTCGATGTAAAGGAGCAGCGGCTCTACTCTGAGTCCCTCCCGGATGACTGAGCTTCTCTCTCTAAGGGAGAGCCCAGACACTCTAAAAAACTGAAACTAATTTCGGCCGCTTGTATCCGTGACCTCGTTCTTTCGGACATGACCCAAAGCTCATGATCATAGATGAGGGTAGAAACTTAAACAGGTAAATCAAGAGCTTCGCTTTTTGAATCAGCTCTCTCTTCACTACGACAGACTGGTACAGCGCCTGCTTCACTGCAGACGCTGCATCAATCAGCCTGTCGATCTCCTGCTTCACTTGGGGCAGGACATCCTCCCCGACCCGGAGAAGGCATGCTATTCTTTTTCAGCTCATTTATTTATGCATTTATTTACATAGCTATGGATTTTTATTTTATTTATCGAGATGATAAAAGAAAGAACATTGAACACATTGATCAACAGGTTTTGCATGTCATTCAACACACTCTCTCTCGATTTTCTTATCTAGGGTGTCAGACACACACACACACACACACACAAATAATACACATGCACGTAAGGGCAGTAATGTTACCTAGCTTGGTTAGATAACTAGTATCAGCTAACTTCAAAGAAGGCTAATAGGTTGATTTGTGACAATAATGCTGTCACAATACCCATGATTGATTTAATACATAAATTATGTATTATTTATACATAATTATAAATTATGTATACATTTTACATAATTTATAATTATGTAAAATGAACATTTTACATAATTATGGACCCACTTATGGAACAATGGGGTAGTAATATAAAACATGCTATTTCTTAAAATGTGTAATAGGTAAATTAAAAATTTTAATTGCATGATATCAATAACATGTTTGTTGAGGAATACCGGGAATATGAAGTGATGAAAACTTTTCATTACAAAGATATTGCAAAAAGATGACCTCACCGGGTCCAAAAGGACCCACTTACGCATCAGAGGATTAAGGAAATATGATGAAAACTGATTTCTAAAGTCAAGTATAGAAAAACATATTCAAGAAAAAATCAACAGAATAACCTTGTATTTCTAACATTTTTCTATAGGTATCAATATAAGTGAATGTGCAGTTAAAACAGAGAACATATGAACAAGTGGCCGAACAATGAAACGGTTAAACACAGATGATTCACAGGTCACTGAATGCATTACAGCTTCAATATTTATTATGTTTAGTTGTTTAGTCATTTTCTTTACAAACAAATATGATGGAATTATGGTGATTTAAAAATAGTCCAACATGGGAATGATTGGAAGGATGAATTGTGTGAGAAAATTCGATGAAATCAAGTTGTTCTTGACTTTATAAACCCAGTGATATATTAGCAACAGAACATTCAGTTATCATTATACTCACTTGGACAATCTGCCACCTCTTTGAAAGCCTTCTTCTTACAGCAGGCTCGACACAGACTGAACACACATTTATTTCCCTGTAGAGCAAAACATGACAGGAATGACTAAGCTTCCTGAAATCTTTGTAAATGGAAGGAGAGAATAAAAAAACCACAAAACTTTATAAAAAATGACATCCTTTATGCAAACAGTCATTTTATGTGACTTTGGAGAAACAGGAAACCTTAGAAAAGACGATTTATGTTTATGAAAGCGGACGTGTGGATCAGATATAAAAAACCAACACTAAGGCTGTCAAACTCATTTCCTTTTTGGCCCATATCAAGATCACTAATGTCCTCAAAAGACTGATTGTGATTGTGGTGGAATTTACCGAAAAAGTTATAAAAATTATCAAATATTACTAAATATCAGTTTCTTACTTTTTAAAATTAAATCACATTGAACATATTTTCACATTAATGTAATTTAGCAGCATGCAGATAAAAACTCTTTGGATTTAATTGATAAAGTAAAATTTAGGTGTACAACTATTAACTTAAAGATTCTGTTAACGTCCAGCGGGCCGCAGCCAGGCCTTCAGTTTGACTCATCCGCTTACCTTTGGGTTGCCACATTGTTCACATTTGAGGTATTTGGCTACAAGCAGGGAGAAGGAAAACCATTTCAGATTTCTTGTTCTGTTGGTTGTGGTTTAAAGACAAATCTTTAACTTAGTTAGACTCACGTTTCAGCTCAGGACAGAAGTTTTTGTTGGGGTTGCGGGATCTTTTCTTCAGTTTGTTTTTGGACAGGCCTTCAGCTGCTCTGTCTGAGTCCTCCAGAGCTCTTTTCTGACACATGGTGCTCTTCACCTCAACCTCCTGGCAGCTGCCGTTGGTCACTGCCGGCTTGGGCCTGGTGGATGTTGGTCGTTTAAAGCAGAACAGTGGAAAAGAAATGTGCCTATGATAAATCCTTTTGTTGCTTGGTTACTTTACTAAGTGTACATCTGCAGTCATTCAGGCCATTAACATGCTGGCAGCAGTAGAAACAGAGGAAGTGACTCACGGTGGTCTGACGTACGGTTGGCAGATCCAGTGAGGCAGTGGCAGACCCCCGTCTTTCTCATCCCCACCAGAAATCTCCTCCTACATTGAGACGACGAGAACCAAAGAACTAAGAACCAGAATCATTTCAAATAAAGAAATGGGTCTGTCACAATTCAGTTTTCCAATTACTGCAGTAAATAATAATATTGTTTTGAGAACATTTTTAGACAATATACTGATAACAGCAAAAGTTTGTCTTCTCAAAGACCAATAAAGTGTAGTTTTGTAAAGAATCCTTTACTCTGGAACTATAAGATATTTTAAATTTGCAAAATAAAGCAGGACCACAAAGGAAAATCAATAAAATAAAATTAAAAACCACACATAACCCAAACCATAAATAACATGGATTATCAAGTCTCTGCACAAAATTGCCCTTCAAAAATATTAATCATTGGAATGAATATTGAGTTCATTTCAATTTTATCATGCAATTAATTGATTATTGCAACAAGCTTACAAACAAATTTTCATCAGTTACGTTATAATTATGCAGAAAATAACACAAGCTGTAACCAACCTGTGACGGAGGAGCCATCACGAGACTTAATTATGAGTCCATGTCAGCACGCCCGCACACATATACACACAAACATATACAATCACTAACTTACTTTTTGTTGCAGCTTAAACTGACACGTTTCATTGTGGGTGCACAAGCGGTGTTCCTGCTTCAGTTAACATATCCATCCTAGCCATTTGTTATTTTGCCAGTTATTTTGTATTCTCCAAACATTTTCCCAGTTCTGTTTTTAAGCAGGATTGTTTCCAGACTGTGGCGCGCCAGGAGAGAGTCATGTGATGACGTAGTGATGTCATCGGGATGTACTGAGTGTTTTCTATTAAACTGAGTATTATAGTTTTGATCACAAGTTTGTCTATTTATATATATATTTTTTTCTTTTTTCTTGGTATTTATCATTACTTTGTTTACTTTAAGAGTTTACTTGAGTTAGAAGTAATTGTTTAGTTGTTTTTGCTTGCTTATTTTGTGCTGTGGGCAGAGCCTGTGGCTTTAAAAGCAGGGCTCTGTACCACTTTGAGTCAGTCTGTGGTTAGACTCCTGAGAAGTCACACTGAAGATGATGGACTCTTGCATTTAGGGTACTGCTGTTTGTCTGTTTTTAACCTGCCTTGGACGTCCTTTGTACATGTTCTGCACCTCTCTGATTTGTTCACCTGAAGAAAAGATTAATAAATTTCATTAAAGTGATCTCCAACCTTGGCCAGTCTTTTATGTTTGACCAAGTCATAATAGAACCCCGTCACACAACCATCTGCATTTAACAATTAATGGGAAACAAAAAATGAAAAGTGTGTATGATGACATACACGCCATCTGCTCTGTTTTGCAGAATCAGCATCAGATGGTCCTCACAGGTCACATTATCATTTGCTGATGATGCCGTTTGCTCTGACATAACTCTAAATCTCCTGATGTGAATGTTAGCCAGGACGGGAAGAATCAGGGCAGAAGCATCAACATTGTGGTTTTTAGTATTTGAACACATTTAACTTCTTCATGTTTTATGTTGCTACAACCACAAACCTCCACATGCTTCTTGGTGTTTTAGGTAATAAAGCAGCACAAAACAGAGCTCACTGAGAAGTGGAACTCCAAATATTACAATTGCAACTGTAAGTCTGCATTTTGATGCTAGGCTAAATTGATTTGCTAAGAAATATTGGTGCCAATTTTCTACCACCAGATTAGGGTGGCTTTTGGGAAGGTCAAGGGTTAACTTTCTTGGCCTCCTCCCCTAAGATGCTGTACCTGGCAGCGCTGCTTCAGCTGTGCACTAACATGGGCCAACCCTTCCAGGGTCTTCACCTTGGCCAGCTCCTCCCTGAGGTCCTGGTGGATCTGCAGCCTAAACAAACAAACAAACAAACAAACAAACACACACACACACACACACACACACACACACACACACACACACACACACACACACACACACATGCGTGACTACAGTTTCAACAGCTCAACCTAATCAGTAGGACTTTATGTTTCCACTATGAAGGGTAAAGAGTTTAAAGAACTCATCCGTCCAGTAAGAATGAATGAAGCCCTACGTGTGATGCCACAGCTTGAAGAGGTGAGCCCGTATGTAGGACAGCGAGCATGGAGGGTACTGCTTCACCACCTCCAGATATTCCTCTGCCATTTCCCACACTGGGGGGCTGCGGCCCTCAAACAGGGCCGGGTTATGGAGGTTCCCTTCTGCGGATAACACAAAGGCAGATCTAAGGAATGCAATAATTCAGACACAGAGCACTTTATAGCTGAACCTCACAGGACAGAGAGTTAAAGGAGAACTAACCTGCACTCATGACCCCCTGCACTCCTGTCTCCTGAATGCAGCGTTCCACATCACTCAGATGATGGATATTCCCATTTGCAAACACTGGAATATTTACTGCTTTTCTGCAAAAAAAAGAATCCAAGCCAGAAATATGTCTTTTTATTACATTTTGTAGAGACACCAGAGAAAAAGTACAGCAGCTCACCTGACTGCCTGAATGTGCTCCCAACTAGCGATCCCCGTCATGGCTCCCTTCTGATCTTTGGTTCTGCCATGTACTGTCAGCAACTGGGACATTTACCAAACATCTCAGACTTCACTACAGTTATAAAGCATTTTTTCTAAATCAAAGCTCAACAAGTGGTGGATACAGATCCTACCTGACATCCAGCTTTCTCCAGCATCTGAGCATAGCGCACCGTTTTCTCAATCTCCTTGAAGACTCTGATCTTACAGGTGACCGGCACCGAAAGCTTTTCATTGGCTAAGCTGACTGTCGATGTAAGGAGAAAGGAAGACCTTATAACTGCTGCTATTTAAATAAAGAGGATTTAAACACTGGTTTAATCATACAATTAAAGATGCATGTTAACATGAGAAGCATAGAAAATGTTATTCGTTAAAAAGCTACACATAAAATATGACAAAATGAGTAAAAACTCACCCATCCTCTCCAACAGCTCCCATTCATCTTGCAGAAAAACTCCATAGTGTCCTTAAAATAATTAACATTAGTTTTGGTCCTCTATATTAGCTCTACTCTAGACAGTCATCCTACGTTCAGATTAGAGAACATGTACCTCTCTTAGCTATCATCTGTGGACAACCCAGATTGAGATCAATGGCGTCGCAGTAGTCCTGGGCCAGGACAGCAGCCTGGAGGAACACCTCCGGGTCGTTGGCACAAAACTGGGAAAAAAATAACAGGACATAAATTTCTCTCCAACACTACATGAGACACACTGTGTTTCAAAGTAATGTGCAGCTATGACGCTCATTCTGAACAAACACTGGAGATTCTCACACACAAATCTGTTCACATTTATCATTCAAGGTTTATTTGCAGTGTTGACAATTCATAGCTTTTATATGAACATGATAAAGTGATTGGTCTTTGTACATGTTGATATTATATAATATTTTGTATTAAAATCTTTATTGTGCACCTTTTGATGACTGGATATTATTGGTCAGAATTACTTCCTGTCTAAGAGAGTTTCTAACCGCTGCAGTGTGTTTTTCTCCAGGTGTGTGAGACGATTACAGCATGATGGAGTTTGTTGTCTTAGTTTATGGGAGAAACCCGTTATTCTCTCACACACTTCCAGCTATAGACAGGAAATTTTGGGGAGAATTTTTTTTATAATTTCTCATGAAAAAAAGTTAATAACTGTTACCTGGCAGCTGCGATGACCACTTTAATCAGTTTATAATGAGCTAACTGATATAGATGTGTGCTTATAAGTTGATTTCTCACTATAGTCTGATTATTTTGGTGAAAGTGGAGTAGTGAAAATATATTATCAAGAAAAATAGTTATTTCAACATTTTAAATCCTGAACTTTTAATTGAAATGCATAAAATAATTTTAACCTCAGTTGTACTTTATTCAGTTAAAACCTAAAAAGTGATCTAGTAGAAGAGCTCAGACACAAAGCCTTTATCATCAACTACATAATTAAAACAAAAATATTGCAAGAGAAACATCAGCAGGGAGCAGTTTGGTTCTGTCTCTTCCACATGATTTTCAGACTTTAAATGGCTTAGTTAGTAAATTAATGTATGTGAAATAAAATAGGAACTATACAAGATGTCCTGAAAGTCTTTGCTGAACAAAAAGTTTGATCGTTTAAACAAACAAATCTAATATGTCATGCCTCTGATCACTGCACTCCTTCCTCTGATCCAGCAAAATAAAAATAAAAAAAACTACTTAATAAATGTAAAAAGTATAAGCCGTTTAAGAAAGGCAACATCAATAACATCATTTGGGTTAGAAATATTGTATATTTATTTATATATGTGCTCAATATTTCCTGTTTTTATCATTTCAATATAACATTTATTTCCTGTAGTGATAAAGGTGAAAACAAGGAAGTTTTCCTGTTTGATCAAAGCGTCAAAGTGAAAGTAAGATTTTAATTAATATGCGATACTAAATAACGGAAAACTATATTTATGTAATATTTACAAAAGCGTTGAATAATAAGTCCAATTTATTTATTCATAGGCCTGAAAAAATAACTAACATGGTTTCCACATTTCTAAAGAATCCATCACCAAACCAACAGTCAAATCAAACATGCTGGAGCAGCTTTCAGGTTTTAAGAACCAAAAATCTTCAATAAGCTTCCTGTTGACTGTAGCAGTGCTCCCATCCTGAGCTCTTTAAAAATAAGGTTATTTATTTTTTATTTGCAGTTTCCTATACTCTTAGCCTATTGCTGTTGTTTTTTTACTTTATTTTTAAGCCTTCTCAATTTTAATCTGGTTGATGTGTTTTTCTTAATGTATGTTAATTCTATCTTCTATGTATAAGAACTTTGAGTTGCCTTTGAAAGGTGCAATATAGATAAAGTTGCCTCGCCCCCCCCTCACCTGCCCAGCTTTAGTTTCTAGTCATCATCTCGTACCCTGTGTGAACTCTCACCTGGGTAATCAGAGGTCTGTCCTCCTCACAGACTTCGTTGTAAAGGTTTTCCTTCCTGTAGTTGGCATCCCGGACAAATACCTGAGCGTGCAGCATCGGAGTGTAGCAGAGCTGAGCACCATGTCTCCTGCTCAGCAAGCGCCAGGCCAGCTCGCTCTGGTCCACCATGGGCGCCACCACGAAGCGTGCCTCCCTCAGGGTCTTCCTCCAGAACTCAAAGCCCTGAAGCTTGGCCATCACAGCTGCGGTCAACAGACAGCAAAGAGCAGTGTTATATTAAGAAACATTCTGCAAGGCTTTTCTCTTAGTTATTACGACAGCCATCTAACAAATGTCTATAAGAAAGCTAGAATCAGAAAGAGTTCCCTGCAACTACAGATGCAATTATCAGTTAATCAGAAATCTGAATTTCCCAATATTCCCTAATTTTGGCTCTGAACAGCGATCAAAAGGGCAGACAGTGAACATATATAAATAAAGAATTCCCACAGATTTGGTGTATATACTAGGACAACAACCAACAGAATGCACATCGATACACTTTGTTGAGTTAGTAAAGCTCAGATAAAGAATAGGGAATGGGTAAATGAGGATTGGCCCTGAAAAAACTGATTGATGTACCTCAACCTACAACATATGCAGAACAAAATACCAACATATACCAAGAATAAATATTCAAATTTAAAGACCTCAGCAGCAAAAGGTAGTCTGTAAGAATTGGACTACACACAGACTGACGAGTTTAGAAATTAATTTGTAAATGATTACAAAAGTCAACATGAAAACCTCTCAGTTATGTTATCATCCCTCTGGTGTGTTATTACTGTGCTTTATATTTACCCATTAAAAAGTGTTTCCTGCACGTATCTGACATGAATATCTAAACCTTTATATGAGTACAACAGACAGCATGTATAAAAAATAGTGGCAAATTAAATAGTCAATATTTAATAATGTTCAGCGCTTACTGAAGCCATTTAAATGACTAAACGTTGTTCGTATCACAGAAGTTTTGCAATTCAGCACCATAGGACCTCATAAATATAGCAAATGTTTAATTACTTGACAGCAGCGAGTTTGATTAATTTTGTTTTTTTTCAAACTATTTTTTTCTGTTTTCTTTTCACCTTCTAGCCTTTAGTATTCCTAAAACTTGTTAGCTGTGGTGTCGCTAGCAGAGCCGAGCTAACTGGCACTCTGTTATCCCGGGTCAAACAGAAAGCTGTCGTGGCCGTGTCCCAGCCTCCTGGCCCGCTGTGTGGCCAGCGAGCAGCGGGACCTCGGTGTGTCTGGAACCTCAGGCTGATGTTTCACCTACTTCACTGCGATGCTTGGAGACAGCTCCTCACGCGGCGCCTTCAGCCATGTGCAACAGCCAAATAACACCGGCAGGGAACGATTCTTCTTCTCCGCCTCAGCTACTTCTGGTTGCAAATCAGATATTCAAACAGACCCATGGTACGACGCCCCCGTTTGGTTATAGCACGTCACAGAAGGTGTTAAAAATACTTGACTTGTATAATGTAATGTATTCTGCCCCAATACAGAATACATTTAAATGTATTCTGTATTGGGGCAGAATACATTTTAATGTGTCTTTTTTATGCATTAAGTATTAATATCAATGAAAGAAAATCACAAAAAATCACAGGCTATTTCTAAATAAAAATGTAATTTCGAACTCATTTAAAATATACTGAAATATTAATGTAATAAAGGTGAAAGGACAAGAATGTAAGACAAATAAAAATCATCTAAAATGGAAATTTAGAGCCAGCTCGATAACATTAGAAACCAAGTTACACTTGCTTTTATGCTCAGTTTATGTTTGTGTTTTATTTCCATGTTATCCCTTACCACCTTCACCATCCAGGAGTAATCTCGGTTTGAAATATCTCATGCTGTAACTGACAGATGACTGCATTGATGGCTAAAACTGTTAGCTGAAAATGATTCCCGTCATAAACAGTGCTGCACAGATATATTAATAAGTTTTGTTACAATTGATTTACCATTTAGGAAGGCAGTCTGCAGGTGAACTTTGCTGTTTGACATTCAAAATAAAACCATCAGGGTCTTCCCAGTCCTTATTCATCAGAAGAAAAGTAAACCATCACCATGGATACTGACAGATCCATTATTCACCCAGATGCTGTGTGATTTTCCCTCATGGTGCTCAGATTACAAATAAAATAAAACAAACTGATTAGAGTTTACAGTTAAAATCCTACAAATTATATTTTTAAAAGGACATCTTTTGGGTTCCCTTCTGCTGAATATTACAATTTCTGTACTGCTTACTACAATTTCAACTAATAATTTTAATAGTAAGAAGTAATAGCATCCAACCTTGTTTGTGACTGAGAGTTTCTGGTTCAGGAATCCCAGGATTTTCTATCTGCTTTTTGTAGATGATGTGTTTCTGATGAGTCAGAATCAAACCACCAAGATATTCTTATTGTGTCACAGTGACCCTGCTAGGATAAGCATGTTGGATAATGGATGGATGGATGGACAGACAACCAGAGATCTAGAACAGCAAAAAATATTTTTATTGAAACACTCACAAACGGTACAGACAATAAAAAACACACAAGGAACAGTAATGTGTAACATTGTCCATAAAAAATTTAATAGCAAATTAGAATTACTTTGTTAAAATATATTGATTAAATATGTCTTTTTACTCCACAAACAGTAAGTCATGTTGCAGAACACACTTTGTTCCATAGAAAGCTACTGCATCACCTCTGCTGGACATCTGGAGTTGTGAAGCTAAGGGAGCTCAGTACTTTAGAGAAGCAGTATAATGTTGTCAACACAAGTAAGCTCACAATAACAGCGATCCACAATGACATACAAGTCTGTAGGGACGATATAACCTGTGGAGTGTGAGCGTGAAACAGACTGGAGCGTCTGTTTCACAGAGAAATGCTTCTCTCTCTTTTGAATATCACAGTACAGATTTGGGCATAAAATATTTACCTCCAACCTCAAACTCAGAGACAAACGTTGAAGCAGCACTTTCCAACCAGCTGTCACATTCTGCAGCCATGTTCAGTATCATATCTAACTAGTACCTGGCCTGTTTTTGTGTAACGTCACAAACTGAGGGAGGAGATATTTTCTGCCTTGTGATTCAAAAGTGAAGAGAATAAAGAAACTACAATCTGTTAGAAGTTTGTCACAAACAAGATTTTAAGCCATTTGACAGGAATGAGTTTCTGGTTATACAGATTCAAAAAGCATTTCCAACACTTCAGAATGCAGAACAGCAGAAAGCAGCACTTTATTTTTTAAAGGATAAGGCTGGCAGGATTCTGCACCTTTCTTATCACAAATTTATTGAAAAAATAAAAACTAAAAAAATATATAAAATATGTTATTAGTTTTTACGTTGTATTGTTTGTTTTTACGTGAGGCACTCAGTTTTATTTCTGTTATAAATCTATTTTTATCACTTTCTTTTTAATAACAACATGAAATTGTATTTTCCCATTTACAGATTTTTTAAAAATGTTTTAGTTTTGGTTACTCTTGTGTTTTTCATGTAATCAAAAAGACTGAAATGGTAAAAATGGTAAATGGCCTGTGCTTGCAGTCATTCAGTCACCCACACACACTCACACACTGATGCCAGTGAGCCACGTTGTAGCCACTCAGTCAGAGATAACCTCAGCAAAATCAAAATGCACTTAAGATGATCTCATTTCTAGTGAAAGTGAAGTTATCCAAACCAACCTGGTTCTAGTTGGCTCCCTTGTTAACTCATTCAGACTCCAGTAAAACACAACAAGAGTAAACAAGGAACACTGGAGAACCTTCCCAGTAGAAGCCAGCCAACCAGAATCACACAGGGGGACCCAGAACAGACCTCACAGCCTCTGTTAAGGTCAGAGGTCAGGGTTCAACAATAATACAGACGAGACAAAATGGCCTCCATGGCAGAGTTCCAAGGAAAACACTGGTGAGTGATGATCTCCAAAATGTCTGTGGACTGATGAGACAAGGTGGAACATTTCAGTGGATGTTTTTCCTGATACATCTGAGCTCAGAAAAACAACATACTGACAGCCAGACATGGCGATGGGACAGTCTGACCTGGTTTGCTTATTCAAGATCTGAACAACTTGTTATAATTAGTAAAATAAGGAAAACAATAAGAATTTCTGGCAATCACATTGTGACATCAAGAATATGATGTCACACAGAAGCACCCCAGCTAGCAAAAAAAGAAGAAGAAGAAAAAAGAAACGAAAAAACAGTTTTGGGATGAGCAATTTTTGTGTATGGATGGCAGTGACTGCTGCCAAGAACTAGATAACCAGTTAAGTTCTCACATGGTCAGGCTGGTCTGGATAGGTTTTATACCGCAATAAATAAAACCTTAATTTTAGAACTCCAGTTTGTTTTTACTTAGGTCATCTTTGATACTAAAAAAATGGTTGCTAACGAAAAAGATTAGAGTTTAACTAAAAGAGAAAAATAGCAAAATCTGTAAGGAGGTAAATACTTTTTCATGGCACTGAATAGAATTGTTATTTTAGTTTTTACTAAATGTTGAGCATTAGGTTGTTTTGACATGCATCCAAAAAAGACAAATGACTATTCCTCCTGAAGTTCAGAATTGGGGATCTCTGTAACACGCTGTTCAAACTGTGGAGCAGAGCAAGACATTATATTTAGCGTAGGTCTTTCTTTTTAAATATTACGTTTGTTCTTCTATGATCTGACTCTAAACTTAGGTTGGATAATTTGTTAGCCTTTCATTCTATTCCTCCTTTTATTGAAAATGAATTCCCTTCCACTTCATCAAAGACTAATTATTGAAAAAAAGTTAAGCACCATGTAAAGGACCACAAACAAATAGTCTAATTAGAAAGTCATCTGGTGCAGAGCAGCACAGAGGATGTACTTGATTTAAAATGTAAGGAGCTGGCAGTTCTGGAGGCTCACCAGAGGACAGAGGCAGCCTGACTGAAATGATAGTGCGGCAGGAAGCTGCCAGTATGTCTGGCAGTCAGATAGACAGACAAACAGACAGGATGCCATGTAGTCGGACTAAACATCATCACCAGGAGCATGTTGGGGGTCTCATGCGGGGATTGAAAGAGGTCAGGTATTCTAGGTTCTGACTACCTGGAATGCTAGGCTAACCTCCTTGGTTAGCCTAGCCTTTCACACACACTCTGGTTTCAACAGTGTGTGTAGTTGGCCCCATATGTTAGGCAGTAGCTTGATACAGTCACCCGGCCTGAAACATGGTGAAAATGGACGATTGAATCCAATCCAATCTGTGTCTGGTGACCTTACTCTCTGATGACATCACTCATGGCCTCTAGTGCCTGGTCTGAATGGTTGCAAATCAGATCATTTACACCCCCACTGTTCTGTAATTGTATCAAATTCCATCCAAATTAAACTGCTCCATATTGCTGCTTAAAGCTGCAGTATGTACCTGACAGAAATATGTTTTTTACATATTTGTTAAAAGTGTCAATATGTTGAGGCCGCTTAATATGAGACAGATAATCTGTGAAAAGATCAATCTCCCCCACCTCCTGAGCTACTTCTGAAGAAATGCACTCAATGCAATCAACCAATCAGAGCCAGAGGAGGGGCTTAGTGCTGTCAATCAACCTTATAAATGCACTGCTAAATGTGCTAATAGTGGAGAAACAACTTACCGATCTTGGAAAACCATTTATCTGCCATCACTGGTGGCCATGCTAACTAGCCTTAGCTTTCAGGGCAGGTTATGTTGTGGGGAACCAGCTGTGATTGACAGCACTCAGACCCTCCTCCTGACTCTGATTGGTCGTTTCTGACAAAGCCGGTTCATAGGGGGAAGACAGAGGAGCTTGACGTTTTTCGCACATTATCTGTCTCATCCCATACTGTCACCACATGACAGTTTTATAAAATATGTTTTTTTTGTTTTTGTTTTTTTACATATTTGTTAAAAGTTACATATTGCAACTTTACTGAGTTTCTTTTTCGGGGAGTTTACATTCATCTGTACTAATCATGTGTTATGTCATTTGCTAAAGCATAGAATGCAGAATTTTGACAAAATTATCCCTTAATTTCATTTGCTGGTGGCGACATCCATAAAAAATAACTTAAACATTTGTTATAAACTATATACACACGGCAGCACTGCGGCTCAGTTTTCCCATTCGGCAAACTTTAAAACATTGAGTGGAAAGACGAAGCCAACACAGCTATTCTTGCCAACAATCATTTGGATGGTAGCAGAGTCACAGCTACTTCAGTGACAGACATAAACACATTGCTCACTCAGACATTGAATTATGGCCAAAGCTTAGGATTGGGTATGCTGCTAACTAGTACGTTTCACCTGCACCCTCCGTCTCGACCTAAAGACAGGTTTCAGGACAAGCAGCCATGTCACCATTAGCCTGCGGCTCCTTTAAGAACCTCTCCACCTCCTGTGAGTCCACTGCTACACTCTTTGGTCGGACATCGTTGTCGTTATTCTTGTTCTCATTGATCACCTTCTTCTTCTCTGTCATTTGCTGCCCCTCTGCCCTGCTTGTATGCTGGTTGGTCTCATCATCTGCCAGTGTGACCGTCTCACTCAGATAGACTGCCGGTTCACGGGGTTTCTTCTTGATAAATAAGAAGTTGCAAGTAGCCAGAACCACTCCTGAGAGCAATACCTCACTTCCTGCCAGCAGGAAGACGTACATGTAGCTCTTGGTAGCGTCCAGAAGTCGCCCTGAGACAATAAAAGACAAGAAAAACAATGACAAGAAGAAATGTGGAGGTGCACTACCATCAAGATGGGGCTTGGGTTTACTAAAAAAAAGGTTTTATTTTGTTCATTTACAGTTCAAAATGATGGTAAATGGACTGAACTTATATAGTGCTTTATCCAATCATTTTGACCACTCAAAGTGCTTTACACTAGAGTCACATTCACCCATTCGCACTCACATTCATATACCGATACGCAGATTGGTAGGCAATTTGAGGTTAAGTGCACATCGATGTGTGGCAGAAGGAAGCTGGAATCGAACCTACAACCTTCCAATCGCAAGACGACTACCCACACAGTGACAGTCGCCCCATGACACATGTTATCTCACATGTTAACAAACATAAGTTTTAAATGAAAAGGAGTTTGAAAATCTTAATCTACCCCTTCTCTTCAAAGTCACTTTACTACACTATGACCCGGGGTTGCTCACAGGTCACCCTGCACCCTTTACCTGCACAATATTTTTCTTTCAACAGTTTGAGTTGCTCCACAATCTGTTTGCAAATCAGCAAATTCAGCAAACTCTGAGGTGTTGATCATCTCTGCTCTCCCTTTAGTTCCTCCTTTCCCTAAAGTTTCACCGATTACCTCCAACACAACAACAGTGATCTTTGATTGCAGTTACACATTTTACGTAATCTCAAGTTCATCATCAAAATCACATCTATAACCCTCTTTAGCTTCTGATTTAGCATTCATTTATAATATGATAACCATAACTTATCATAATCATAATTTGAGTTATTATAGGTGTTCTAATGAAAAGAAAACAGGAATCATTCATGACTCTAATTATTTGAAACCAAAGTTACAGTTCATTCTTACAAGTAAAACAATATTAATATAAGTATTTTGTTTTGGGTCTCATTCAATTACTCAACGTGTTCAGACTTCATTTTGTAAAATTTTCATGCATTGACATAAAGAATAGTCTCAACTACAACACTCTCTCTGCCTGACTATGATTTCTTATGATTAAATACAGAAATACATAGAAATAAAGCAAAGCTCGCAGGAGACAACACATAAAAATACAACCTCACTGATTTCATTGAAGTTTGATTTTACTGTTGGTTCTTTGTTAGATTCATTTCAAATGTAACTTCATGTATTGTTACTGTTAAGCTAAAATCTCCAGCGTGGGGCTAATGGGATGGCTTCAGGTTATCTGACATATGTTATGATTATTATATTTTTCTGCTTTCTTCTTAATCATTTTATTTTTGTCGTTGACATTTTTCTTGTTCAAAGAATAAAGATTTCAAAATTTCTCATGTCCTGAAAGATTTGTCCAACTTTAAATAATTTTTAACTCAAAAAACAAGGATGACTGCTGCATGACTACACCATCCCCCCAGCAATCAGGCTTAGCAAGTTGTTTAGGGGAAACTCTGTTCTAAAAAAAAAAAAAAAAACATGCTTGCTTGGACAAATATTAGACATAACTGACTGACCTGCACTTGGTGGTCCCACCAGCACAGCAATAGCTTCCGCCAGGAGGACAAGGCCAATTGCACTGGAGAATTTTTCAGTGCCAACTATTGCCATCAGCACCTCAAACTGCAGGGCGCCCACCATGCCGTAGGAGACCCCGAAGAAGATGCAGAAAATAACCAGAGACACATAGTCGTTGGCCTGGAAGAAATGTAAAAAAAAAAAGAAGAAAAAAGATCAGCTTACAGATCCTAAATTCTCTACATCAGTGAGCAGAAACTGTTCATTAGTAGTTCATGACTAACAAGTCTTCACCCACTTGTGAGCCAACCAGGTCGGCAGTTCCATTAAAGAGCATCGCAAAGCTGAACAAATAGACGCACCGAGGCCGCACCCATTTCAGTCCGGCAATCACACCACAGGTTGGTCGAGCAAAAATATCTATGAAACCCAGGATGGTGAGCAGCAGCGCAGAACTGGTGTCCTCGTTCCCCAGCTCCTTGGCATAACTCACAACAAACACAGGTGGCACAAACAAGCCCAGCACCATGATGGATGCTGCTACGGTGTAGATGACAAACCCCCTGTCTTTGAATACAGAGAAGTCCAGCAGCTTCTCTTTCTTCTTCTTGTCCTCCTGGTCGTGTTGCTGTTCCGCAGGCTTGAGATTCTGTAGGGGCTTCATGAGGGCTCCACACACACAGCAGTTCAGCAGAAGCCCACCAAGAATGAGGAAGCCTCCCCTCCATCCATAATAATCCTGAAGAAACTGACCCAGAGGCGAGAGGCCGCAGAGGAACACGGGGCTCCCAGCAGCAGAAAGCCCATTGGCCAGAGGACGTTTCAGGTTGAAGTACCGATTGAGCATGATGAGAGATGGCTGGAAGTTCAGAGCTAATCCCAGACCTTCATTAAAGACAAGGACAAGAAATGTTTACGTAAAAAGGCTGAAATTTAAAGCTGCATTATACACCTTTTCCAAAGTCGCTTTTTACATATTTGTTAAAGCTGTCATGAGACAGGTAATCTGAAAAAAGCTCATCTCCTCCGCCTCCTCCCTTGGCTACTATTGACATCTGAAGAAATCCACCGCTCCTGGTCAAAAACAACCAATCAGAGCCAGGAGGAGGGGCTCAGCACTGTCAATCAACATCATGTATGTGCTGCTAAATGTGCTAATGGTGCTGAATTCACTATTCCAACAGGAGAGCAGGGGATAGGTTGTGAGAAGTATGTACACAAGGGTGATTGACAGCACTTAGACCCTCCTCTGGCCCTGATTGGTTGTTTCTAATGGAGCTGTGTATTTGTACAGGTGGCAGCAGAACCATAGGGAGAAGGCAGAGGAGCTCGATTTTTTTCAGACTCATATTATAGTGTCAGCACACAATGATAGTTTCAGCAAATATGTAAAAAATATCTTTGTAAAAGTTACACACTGCAGCTTTAAGATGGAACACTAGAAAATTAGATATTTTTATGAAAACAAGACTTTGTAGAATCCATCTCATTCCTTTGCGTTACTGGCCTATATCTAGACCAGCGTTTCTCAACCCTGGTCCTCACTGCCCCCCTGTCCTGCTTGTTTTAGGTACTTTCCTTCTGCTACACACCTGAATTGTATCTCTGGGTGATTAACAGGCTTCTGCAGCACTTGAAGGTCATGCAATCATTTGAATCAGCTGTTCTGGAATAGAGGCACATCTAAAACATGCAGAGCAGGGGGGCGGTGAGGAGCAGGGTTGAGAAACACCGATCTAGACAGCCAGTTGGATAAAGAAAAATAAAGGATTCAAAAGTTTTGTGCTTTAATGCAAATTTAGTCAGATTTAATTTAAAAGTCTTAATAAAATTACATTCAGTAACTGTCAATTAGTCATTTGAAAGACAATTCAAGATAAACGCCAAGGATGGATTTTCAGCTTCACTGAAAATGTGAATAAGAAAAAAAAAAAAAAAAACAGGGAAACCTGTGATGACTCCAGTAGAGAGGTAGATGTGGATGATGCTGGTGGAGAAGGAGGCCAAGATCATTCCCAGAGAGGCAAAGAGGCCTCCCACCATCATCACAGGGCGGCAGCCGAAGCGGTTGACCATCACACTGCACAGAGGACCTGCACCGACCAGAGCACAGACACTCTAATGCCATCAGCTGCTGCATTTAGGTACCATTCAGTTTTCTGTCCTAAATATTTCACTCAATAATTTAAATAACATTGCATTAATCTTGCAAAAAAAATTTAATAAATTGTCATAGTAAAAAGTACTTTATAGCTATGTTAGTCTTTTATTAAATTTGGAGAAAAAAACTTTGGACTTAACTAAAATAAATAGAGATGTGATCCATCTCTATTTGATCCATGTTGAACAATTCACCAAATTCCACCAGCTTTAGAGACAGAGATGTAGGGTTTCTGAACTAAACATTTTATTTCAAACTTCAATACTCCTATGAATGACAAGGAAATAAATGTATTTCATCTAGATGTCTGTGACCATGACACACTTTGCACACAACTGATTTAGCTGTAAGTAGGTTAGTTTGCTGTCAACTTATTAGGCTTTCTTTCCCACCATTACATGTGCAGTATTAGCTTGAAATGTCTTCTTAGGGCCAAGCAACATATTTGGGTGAGTGGTAGATTCAGAGGCTCGGCCTTAACCCTTGATTTATGGTCAATTGTTGCCAGGGTAACAACAGGGTAACAACACAAGCAGCTTGGCCATCTGCTACAATAAAGCCAGTATGCATATGGAGGTTTGTTGCATCAAGCAAAGTTGCATGGATAGTGGTTCCCAAAAATATGAGAACCACTGTGTGGTGTGGAACACTGAGCTGGGTTTCTGAATGATCTCCAGAACTTACAGTTCATGTAAAATTCTTCAAATTACTGAAACACAGTTTACCACGACTGTTACAGGACAGACATTCTAGCTAAAAATGGATAAACTTCAACTCACCAAATTTCACAAAGATTTACATATAGAATTTCATTCAATAGAGCCAGTCACAAGAAATATCACTCTAAAGCACTTTACCAGACAAGCAGGTCTAACTTTTAACAAAAACTGATAGTGATGATGTGTAGGGTCTGAAAAGCGTATTGTGTGCACATGAGCTTCATATTCATGAGCAAAACATCAGTTATTACAGTTACTGGTGTTCCCCTCCAGTTTCAATGCCATACAGCAGCATACCTCTGCTACTGGAAGGAACGGTCCATCTCCCCAAACTACATTCTGCTCTCATCAACCCCCTGGTGCCTGCTCTCTGCTGTCAGCATGCAGATTTCATGACAAATGTTGAACTTTGATCAAATATTACAGTTTTGAGTTGAAAATGGACCAAAATGCAGACAGGAGCTCAGGATGAACACCGAGTGCATTCTTAATGAAAATACGAAAACTTACAAAGCTCATAGCAGCTAGCATAACAACAACAACAACGGGACACAACGGGACAGCAGAGAACAATACGGACCAGAAAGCTATAATATATTCAGAGACAAGAAGATAAGGGCTGGTGGGACTAATCAGAGGTAAGTAAATGCAGCTGGGGGAAGAGAGCAGGCAGAGAAAATTAGGAGATGTGAAACAAGAGAAGGCTAAGGAAGATGGACAAGGATCAGCCAAAGGGACACCATGGATAAAAGAACTGAAACTAAAATAGAAGAATGGAATAATGATCTAAGGAACCTCAAATAATAAAACATTTTTGCCTCTGCAGGCCTGAATTTCATTAATAACCTGGCCTAAGTACATAAATGTCATCATCTGACATTTTATAACCATTCTGATGAGCTGATTTATCTGTCTGATTAAAACATTATAAACTGTCATTTGAAAAATCAACATGAGGTAAGCTGGATGTGATTGGAGTAAGGCAAGTCCCACCTTCCACTGACTGGGTTTGCATATAACTAATTCTAACTGATGACAGTTGGAATGAAGAAATTAACAAACTCCGCTTGTGAGTTTGTTAGGGTGCTTCTGTCGGTCTACCAGTCAGAAGCATATAGGAAATATGCTTCTTATATAGGAAATAAATGAGAGGTTGTAAAGGAAAGGGTTCCAGAGATCAGAGGAGAAAAAAAGAGTTAAGTAAAACCAGATATTATTTTTGTTTAATATAGTATCATGTAAATTGAATTAGTACACTGATATTGCCTTCCGTCTGTGTATTATGCAAACAAACAGCAGCCTACCTGTGCCATAAAGCATCGCCAGCAGGATGGAAGAGATCCAGGCGGTGTCGCTGTATCCAACTCCAAACTCCTGGATCAGCTCTTTGAAAAACACACTGACTGCTTTAGGGAATGCGTAGGAGAAGCCTGTGATGACAAAACATCCAGCCAGCACTGCCCAGCCCCATCCTCCATCTGGGGCCTTCACACTTGGTGCTTCATCATCCACAACAGCACCTCCCATGGTGCTTTATGGCTGTTCCTTAATGGAGGCAGTGAGATACTGGAACAAACATAAAATATTAGGAAATGAAATTCCCTCTACATTTTAAATTCAGAGCAGCAGCAGGTGGCACACTGTCAGATTGAATTTCTTTCCTTAGTGTGGATCCACACAACTCCTAATATTGATTTTTCATTCTGGCTACATTCTGCTCTCATCAACCAGTTCTTAATTATACTGTATTGAGTAAATATAAAGAACAGTCCTGCAACAGTGACTCACAGTTTTTAATGAAGGATTCTCCTCACAAATCTTCACAATTACACGTTATGCATATCCAGCAATCATGGAATGAAGAAATGTCGACCGGATCCGCAGCCAGAAAAATCTACAATAAAAATCAGACAGATCATGTAATTTTCTCAGTATTTAATAAAATATAATAATAAAATAAATCTAGAATTTCAGACATTATTTTCCACCCATTAAACACTAGTACATTGTCTGGTTAGTAAATACAGACATTAAAAATTATAAATGAAAAGCTTGTCATTTTCAATCTTATATAGCATTTTATCAAGTATAGAGGACTCCAAAGCGCTTCACACTACATTCACCCACACAGTGGGAAACCACTGGATTGTGGCAGCTGTGGCTACTCCAGGGCAGACTGCCATGAGGTGAGGCTGCCATGTACCAGCACCACTGTGTCCTGTCACCACCACAGGCAGGGTGGGCGACGTGTCTTGCCCAAGAACACAACAACAGAGCAGGAATCAAACCAATAACACACAGACTGAGGGACAAACTTGTACCACAAATCGCCACCATCGTGCCCAACAGGCTACATACCAGATTACTCTTTGCCAGCCACATAGAGAGGATATCAATGCCACAACAGTGTTTGACTGACTATATAAACTTCTGACTGGACAACACCATCCGCACCAGAACAATGAGATGTTTCCCTAATAACAAACCAGTGGTCTGAAGGAACTATTGAACCTAATAAAAGAGCCTTCAGAGAGCACGACAGGAAATTATAGACAAGCATACAGAAGCAGCTCAAAGTCCAGATTATAGAAAGCAAGGAGAAGTACAGGAAGAAGCTCGAGACCAAACTACAAAGAAACAATGTCATAGATGTGTGCTCAGAGATGAAGATCACAAGCTTCAAGCAAAAGAAGGATTAGACAGATGGAAGTCTGGACAGAGCAAGAGAGCTCATCATTCTCCACTCCTGTCCCCAGCCAAACAGACCTCCCACCCTACTTTGACCCACAGCTTGCCAGTCACACCTTAAATGTTTCATCTTCCACCTCAGTCATTGACTCTTCTGTTTTTACAAGTTTCTCCAACCAAATAAGGAGATGCTAATGCTCCCATTCTGTCTCTTGCCAATCTGTTTGTCTCTAAAAATCTTGTGAAGAGGCAGCTGGAAATACTGAACCGGAGAAGTGCTCCAGGTCCAAATGGTGTCAGCTTCACAGTCCTGAAGGGTTGTGCAGAGCAGCTCTATGGGACTCTGCAGAACCGTGACCCAAGAGAAGGTTCCAGTACATCTTGCCTTGTTCCAGTACCAAAGAAAACCCACCCATCAGTCATCAATGACTACAGACCTGTTGCCGTGACATCCCTCAGTGAACAGTGGATAAGATGCCACAGAGTGTTGGTGGGTGTACCTCTAAAGTGTTGTCAAATCTAAAACAGTCATTTTCAATATTTTCATTATAAGAACCTTTCCTGTGGCATGTCTTCGAATACCAACTTTTTTGTTTTTGTGTCGACTGCACATTCAGATTGGGTGCTTTGTTGAACATCAGTGCTATTTGACATAAATTTATGTAGCATATTTCTGTGCTTCTTGTGCAAGCTCTATTGCCCTTTCAGCTACATAAAAAATTATTTTCCATAAACTGAAATCCTGCAGGGTGTGAGCAATAATTCATTGCTAAATAGTATTTTATGCTATAATTTGCACACCCAGGAGATGATGTAATGCCAAAAAGATGTGTTTATATCTGATGTATATCTGTCTGTGTCTGTGTTGCCATTTTTCCACCACAGAAAAAGCAGGTAATCTCGGTCGCATGGTCAGGTGTGGAACTAATGGGACATATTTTCTATATCACACATTATAGCATTCAGATGTTGCCTGAACCGTAGGAAGATGCCTGTTAAGTTGTTGCTTAGGTCTTACCCTTGGAGAAGCTGATCATTTAGGCTTGCGTCTTTGTATTATGCAGAGCAATTGAACACAATATGTAGTTTAGTGGGCTTTTTGGGGTGAAAAATCCCATGGTGAGGAATATGCCATTGTTTTCAGTGTTTCCTTTCATTTTGCACTTTGGTTAATGTCCAAAGTACATGTAAATTACGTAGTCTCTTGCAATTTTCATCTTTGTTGAACTTTCTTTTTAAGTCTTCAAGTCTAATTTCAGCAGCCTTTCTGTTCTCAGGTATGTGTGGCCTTTGTTTGAATAGTAGAGGCATCTCAAAGTGTTGTTCATTTTTCCTTATTCTTTCCTTGAGGATATCCAAAAAGATTAGACCATTTTGTCATTTCCTTTTGTCCTTAAATTCTGACTTTAGCACATTAATGACATTCAATGAAGTCACAGAGGATAATTCCTTTATTGTGACTCTGACAAACTTGACTCTGTTACATTTGACTGATGGTGTGGAGCCTCCAACAATACTACACCATAGGCCTGGGCACATTCCATATGGCTCATAGTCTTCTCCTAGTACAACTTTTGGTGCTAAAGCTCTGGGACAATTGAATCTGATAAGGAGTCCCACATTGCAGCTCAGGAAAAGTGGCATCACATCAGTGATTTCTATCAAATGGAGCCATTGTTTTGCTGTGTCACAGGTGGGTATATTGTCATAATGAACTGATATGGAGTCTTTACTGCATGAGGGAAGGTTAAAGAGAATGTCTGTGTCATAACCACTTTTCGCTTGAGGTGACTGCTTGTAGCTGGTCGTTTACTCCTTCACTGACAAATGTGCTATTTCTTTGTGTATATAATGCTCTTTAAATAGGTTCTGCCTTTTGGATACCATACAGAAACAATCAATGAAATGTTACTTGACAGACCCACCTTCATAATGTTGAGAGCTGCTGTGGTTTCATCTGGAGTGTTTAAAACTGTGTTGATAAGGCAAAGAAACCTTTCTTTTGCAATGTCATCATGTAGACAAGTTGGATGCTTTCCTTTACAAATGTCACATGAGTGGCCATGGCGACAATCCTTGATGTTATGTCCCACTTTAAAGTATCCATAAGATGCTTTATTATCCTTAACATATGTGTGTTTCTTTTCCAAGGGTTTATCTGAGAAGCTTGGCCATTTTGTCAACTGGTATTCTTCACTTTTGCAAAACATGAGGGTATCTTTGCTGTTGGCTGTCTGTTTGTGCCTTTTTGTTTTAGTACTGTGGTTTGAGTTATGAAGACTTGATTGGATCTGTTTGATTTGGATTGGATCTGTTTGATTTAAAGTCCATTGTGGTTTCTTTTCTCATAGAATTGGGCACGTGACTGAACAACATATGAAATAATTGGAATCTCTGCCTCAACAGCTGCAAAAAAAAAAAATCCATGCCGCCCATAAGTGTTACCGTGACCTGGCAATTCCAACGGTATGCCAGCCAGTCTGGAACCTTCTGTAACAATTATGGATCGTCCTCACAGTCACTTTCAAGGCCTTTTTCATGTGACAGAGCTTAATAAAATGTGTTCAGGAAATCTGAAGATGTCCTTAAACCCTCTGCATCCTTTGAGCTTATTTTTGTCCATTTAGACCGTTTGTCTCTGAAAGGTCTTTGGACAATAAAACCTTGACCACTGGTCAAGTCTTTGCCATGCATCCCTACATGTCTTGTCATCACTACAATAAAATGTTCCCTCAAAAAAATATCTGCCCAGGCCTGTGACATACATTTTCAGCAGGTGAAGCTTATCACCAGATGATATGCCTTTGCAGTTCACAAGTGAGGTGAAAGAGGCCCACCATTCCATTAGACCTGAAAGTTTGAATAATTTTCATTAAGATTGGTGGTATTAGACATTCCTTTGGGGTATCAATGTAAGGAGTAAGCCACTGGGGGTTGCTTGTTCATAAACAGCAAGGTGATCAACAGCATGTTATTCTGTTGAATTTCCTGATTGTCCATATTTATGTAAATTTTTTCACCATGTATCTTGAATTTTGCACGAGCTTCTTGCATTTCCTTTTCTGCCCCTAAATGCTGACATTCTGATTTTTGTACATCTAATTCCCTTCTGTGTTGCTCCTCCATTTCTCTTATTTTTTTCCTTGTGTTTGATCTCTTTCTGGATAAACTCAAAAACTGATTCCTTTGCAGCTAACTGCAGCATCAGTCCTTTTGGCTACAATACTTGAAATGTCAGACTGCATACTGACACTTGACAGTACCATACAGAGCAAGCAAAGTCATGTGAAAATAGCTGATAAAGACGCTGCTTTTCTCTAGCTACATCAAAATCTTATGTTGCTGTTATATGTTCACATAGTATTTTCATAAAGTTTTCTGCATCTTAGGTCAGGAGATGGAGTACTATGCTCCCTTGTTTACTGTACAATTTCATTGTGTCATTAATCAATTTTCAATATTGTCTGCCACTGCACATAACTCTTGCTCTGACAAGTCAGACTTGAAGCTTTCCCTTGATGCTCTGAGTCTGATTAGCCCTTTCCATTGTTAGGACAAGGGACAATTAGCCTTTTTCTCCGTTTTAAT